CATTGTGATGCAAAATTCAGACACATCGAAGACAAGAAACAAATTGTCACCCACAAGAAATGCATTCCTATCAATGTTATATGCATTAGCTAATGCCTGAACTCTAGTGTGGGTGACAGACAAGTCCGGCATATCCAAAAAATAAAAAAAGGGACTCTTTTTTAATGCATCTTTGTGTGCATCGGTTAGAACTACACTTATCCTGTCCATTATGCCCTTGAAGTAGGAGGGCGAACACTTGCATCGGAATTCATTACCCTATCACAAAAAGAAAAAACAAATCATAACAATTTCGAACCAAAAAATTGGAAAAATTCATGCACAGCATCAAATTCATACACAGCATCAACTTTCATTTATGTGAAGCCACTCAATTTACTTACAATGATCACAGAAAATACCAAAAATTCATACACAACATCTACATTTAATGGACATAAATTGAGAACAAATTATGAACAATAGCTCGAGAACAATAGCTCGACTTTTCTGGTGTGCGGGTGGTTCAATTGATAATATACCAACTTTGTACCATTATGCATGTCAAAATATATAATTCATGAAAAATCCCTAATTTATAAAAAAACCCTAATTTATAAAAATCCCTAATTGAAGATGAATTCGAAATCATTACCTTCGATTTAGAGGAAGAAGCTTTATTCTGAGGGGATTCTGCTTTTGATTTAGAGGAAGATGCCATTGTTGCGCCGGGCTTCGACGGAGAAGAAGATCGGAGATGGAGTCGGCCGACGATGTAGAGGTTCGTTTTTTTTGGACGGAGAGTTCGTCGCTTCAAACGGGCGGCGACAGAGCTTTGCTCGTGTGGCGAACGAGGCGCGAAATTGGCGAAGAACGACGGAGGGTTTGGTGTCGAGCTTTGCTCGTGGACTGAACATGAATTTCAGAAAATGGAACAAATAAAAAGAAAGTGAATAAGTTTATTACTTGTATTTATATGGGGAGTAAAATGGAACAAATATAAGGGGGTGGGGAGTGCAGTGGAAATAAATAATGATAGGGGACTGAACATGAATTTAAAAGAGGACTTAGGGATTTAAGAGGAATTCACCGTTTTTTTAAATTTTTTTTAGACAAAATAACCACTTATTTAAATAACAATTAGAATTAGTCAAATAACCACTTATTTGAATCTAGTGAGAGAACTGTTTGTCCCATTTTTGTTGTATTTTTCGTTATTGTTTTATCAATCTTTTTCCCCCGTTTTAGGTCCTTTCGTGAGTTTTTATTCCGTTTTGTGTTTTATTATGTGTTTTGTTCCATTTTTGTTTTCTTTGTGTTTTTCGTGTGTTTTTCTCCTTTTTCTTCTTGTTTTTGGTGTGCAGGTCGAAAGTCTCGTGAGGAGCCGATTTAGCTCAACATGACCGGGCAATCATGGTTGTGTAGATGGACTTGTTGGATACACATAGGAAAAAGCGGAATTAGAATTCGAGTTCGGATGAACCCGGACGGAGCCAAAGCGTGAAGCCGCGTGAAGTCGCATGCGAACGTCTCTAGTGTGATGGTCAAGAGCTTCGGGGGAACCGGTTTTCGAGAATCTTGTGGGGAAGCTGACACCATTGGATAGAGAGATTCGTTAGCTACGCGTAGGAAAAAACGGAACTCAATTCCGAGTTAAAACGAACCCGAACGAGCAAAAATCGTAAGATGGTGCAGTGCAGATTTTGGTCTCCGCGGCCGCGGGATTTTCTTCGCCGCGGCCGCGGCGAACAAAAACAGCCAGGTCCCAAATTTCAGCAGCAAAAAGTCGCGGCCGCGGGATCAGGTCGCGGCCGCGGAGGTCGCGGCAGCAGGGTTTTTAAAAGCAGTTTTCAGATTCGTTTTTAGGCAGTTTTTGGCAAGGTTTGAACACCTCTCGACCGGGGTGAAAACCCT